TGTCTCTCTCTCTCTCTCTCTCTCTCTCTCTCTCTCTCTCTCTCTCTCTCTCTGTCTCTTTGTCTCTCTCTCTCTGTGTCTGTCTCTTTGTCTCTCTCTCTCTTTCTCTCTGACTTTTGGTTAGTTTGCATAAAGATTTGTCTATCTTGTTGATTTTCTTGAGGAACCAGCTCTTTTTACATTGATTCTTTGTATTGTTTTCTTTGTTTCTACTTTATTGATTTCAGCACTCAATTTAATTATGTCGTGGCATCTACTCCTCCAGAACAAGTTTTCTTCCTTTTGTTCTAGAGCTTTCAGTTAAACTGTATATTCTCTAGTGTGATTATTCTCCAGTTTCTTAATGTGGGCACATAGTGCTATGAACTTTCCTCTTAGCACTGTTTTCAAAGTGTCCCAAAAGTTTGGGTATGTTGTGTCTTAATTCTCCTTGAGTTCTAGGAAGGCTTTAATTTTTTTATTTCTTCCTTGACTCAGGAATGATATAATAGCACATTGTTCAATTTCCATGAGTTTATAGGGTTTCTTCAGTCTGTGTTATTTTTTAATTCTAACTTTAAACCATGGTGATCCGATGAGATACAGGGCTTTATTCCAATTTGTTCATATCTGTTGAGGTTTGCTATGTTGTTGAGCATGTGATCAGTTTTAGAGAAGATTCTACATGGTGCTTAGAAGAAGGTATATTATTTCATGTTTGGATGGAATGTTCTATAAATGTCTCTTAAACCTAATTGGACCATAATTTCTGCTAGTTCCTTTATTTATTTGTTTAATTTCCGTCTGGTGGTCCTCTCTAGTGGTGAGAGTTGAAGTCTCTCACTATAAGTGTGTGAGGTTTTCTGTGGGAATTAAGCCTTAGTAATGTTTCCTTTACAAATATGGGTGCCTTTGTATTTGTGGCATAGATGTTCAGAACTCGAGTTCTTCCTGATGACCTCTTTTGATTGTTTTTGGTTTGAAGTCTAATTTGTTAGATATTAGGATTGCTACACCAGCTACTTTCTTGTGTCCATTTGATTGGAAAATATTTTAACAACTCTTTACTCTGAGGTACCGTCTGTCTTTGAAGTTGAGGTTTGTTTCTTGTATGCAGCAGAAGGATGAATTCTGTCTTTGTATCCATTCTGTTAGCCTGTGTATTTTTATAGGTGAGACAATACCATGGATAATGAGGGATATTAATGACCATAGATTGTTAATTCTTGTTTGTTTTGGATTTGTTAGTGCTAGTGGTATTGTGTGTTGATTCCCCCACCCTTTTTGTTTCTTTTGATGTTTTGTGAAGTGAGATTATCTATTGCCTATGTTTTCATGAGTGTATTTAACTTCCTAGGGTTGCACTTTTCCTTCCAGTAGTTTCTGTACAAATCCATTGGATTTGTGGATATATATTGTTTTTAACTGGTGTTGTCATGGGATATTTTTTTTCATTTTTAGTGACTGAAAGCTTTGCTGTGTATAGTAGTCTGTGCTGGAATCCATGTTCCCTTAGTGTTTGTAGAACATCTATCCAGGACCTTCTGGCTTTCAAAGTTTCCATTGAGAAGTCAAGTGTAATTCTGATAGATCTGGCTTTACATATTACTTGGCCTTTTTCCTTTGCTGCTCTTAATATTTTTCTTTATTCTATAAGTTTGGTGTTTTGATTATTATGTGGCAAGGGAACTTTCTTTGTGGTCCAGTTTTTTTTGGTGTTCTGTGAGCTTTTTTTACTTTCATAGTCATGACCTTCTTTAGATTGGGAAAGTTTTCTTCTATGATTTTGTTCAATATGTTTTCTGTACCCTTGAGCTGTATTTCTTTGCCTTCTTCTATACCTGTTATTCTTAGGTTTGGTCTTTTCACAGTGTCCCATATTTCCTGGATATTTTGTGTTAGGAATTTGTTAGACTTAAGATTTTCTTTAGTCAATGGCTCTATTCCTTCTAATTTTTTTAACTCATGAGATTCCCTCTTCCATCTCTTGTATTCTACTGGTTATACTTACATCTGTCGTTTCTGATAATTTACCCAGCTTTTCTATTTTCTGCATTCCCTCATTGTGTTCAGGTCTTGCTGTATAGAGTTTCTAGATTCTGGTGATATCATACTGGTCTTTCTGTTCTTGAATGTGTTCTTATACCGTCCTCTGCCCATTCTTTCTACCAGCAGGTAAGAATGGGGCCTCTTCCTCTCCTCTTGTCTCCCCTTGAATGTAGGTATTCCAAGACTCTGGATGGTCTGGCCTCTCCTCATGGTCTCCTCACCCAGTGGGTTTAGGGAGGACCAAGACTGAGATGTGGGCAAACACCAGATGATCCAGCCTGTCTGGGAGGGCTTACTCAATGCTGAGCAGACCCAGGAAGCTTCAAGGAGTAGGCCTGAGGGGAACCCACACTCACCTCAAGTGGAGGGTTTGGGGATCCAAGGCTGTGATGTGGGCCAATTCCAGATGGTGTGGGCTGCTGGGGTGGATTTACTACACTTCCAGCAGCTTGTGTGCTCTTTTCTAGTCAACAATATTCCTCTTGCTCTCAGGATTTCTCCTTTACCTCAGTGTCTTTGTTTAATGATGAGTCATATTTGCTTTTCCCTGTTCATTTTAGCATGTATATTTTTGACCTTGTCATGAAAACATATATAAAAGAAACATTAGAGTATAAGAACAGCTTGTATTTGTACAGACAAGCATATTTAATTGTTAAAACAATAAATAATCAGAAAGAAGGAATTAAAAGAGGAAGGAGGGGTATATACTGAAGTGTAGACAAAAAGGAAAAGGGAAAATGGTGTGATTATATTGTAATTAAAAATTAATGGAGACAATTCAAAGTATTCAGTACTGGATATTATATCAGACATTAATAATGATATTTAAGTTTAATAGACATGAACACAGAGTTATTGAACATTAACAATAGAAAGCAATAAATGTGAAACTATGTAAAAAGACTAGAATGAAAAATATAAAATGATACATGGGACAAGATATCTAGGTCATTCGAGATGAGAAAAATTACACACACCAAATAGTATACAAATAGTATGCAATGCTTTGGAATAATTTTTGTCTGCACTGTGAAAATGTCATTCTAATTGGCTTAATAGAGTGCTACATGACTAACAGCTAGGCTGAATTTCCAGGCACAGAGAAAATGCTGAGAAGAAGGGCAGAGTCATGAGGAGATTCAGAGGAGGCATAACATGTAGAAGAGGGAACACGCCACGAGTCACATAACAGCATGTAAATTAATGGAAAAGGTTTAATTTAAAGAATAAGAAGCACTTAAAAACAAGTCTAAGCTATAGGCCAAGGTTCATAGTCAATATAAGATTCTGTGTTGCTTTTTCTCTGAGACCTGTTCTAAGGTAAATCCAACTACATCCAAAAAGGGAGCACGTGTTTCCACGTAAAACCTGAGAAAGTTTTAAAAAGGTTTTGAGCACACAAAAAATGGACACAATGGTGACTTCTGAGCCCTGCGAAGTGGGCTACCATACAGAGACACATCCCCAAGCTGCTGCTTGTGGTTTTGAGACACCACTGCCATGAGCTAAGCTGAAAGGTGGTTTAAGTTCTGCTCATTCAGATAGAAAATGTGACAGACAGACAGACAGACAGACAGTAAAGCATATTCAGAAAGGAAAAATCCTCTAAACAGGTAGACTGTGTTTTAAACATGAGCTTAGGATTTAAGAAAAGAAAATGGATATAGACAATCACAGAAAAGAAATGTTTAGAAATAGTAAGATAAAATCTTCAAAGAAAAATAAAATAATACAAAAATAATAAGACACATAGAAGTGGAGTATACACAGGGAGTCTGGAACATATATGTTGTTGTATTGACTTTAAATTTTTTGGCTTCTGATGAACATACAATAGCTTCTGAGAGACACTGAATTATAAAAACTATATATTACTTAACTTCAAAATACAAGTCAAAAATATGTTACACTGGAGAAGAATTTGTGCTTTTGTTTCTACAGAAAATGAAAGGCTGTGGCTTCACTCAAACTTAATAGAGATCAGATTTGACTGGGGAAAATCTTACTACAGATATAAAGAAATAAACCTAAAAACACTAAAATACTTTTAATGTATATTTTACGTGGTCAAACACGAAAAAAATGCCAAAGTCATAATTAGTGCAAATAAATCATCATGGCTACAGACATCACATATTGAACTGAACCTGAAAGTAAAATGGTCCCAAATCACAAGGTGCCAAGAGGGAAGAATGAGGATGAGGGATAACTTGGAGCAGAAATTCTTGAATAAACTGATGGCTTAAGCCAAGCAAATTTATAAAGAAATATTGCACCCTATGTACTATCTGTAATGACAAAATGTCCAAGGTCAGCAGAGAGCTAAGGTAAAAAATGTTGTCAAAGAGAAAACAGGATATCTCAGAAACAGCTGCTTTAGAACTGATAACCATAACTCAGGGTGAAGAACTGAGTTATGAAACTCAAATGTGATGCCTTTATTGAACTTGTTGCATTCCTAGACAGACTTTTTCCAAGTTCAAACTTGGAAAAATACACAGAATTAAATTTCCCTTTGTCCTTACATCAGGATCTCTTAGAAAGTCTTGATTCAGGTTGGCTCCAATAGCATACAGACCCCCCACCTACAGAACCACAAATATTATATGTATCATTTTTATGAAGGATAGGCATACCAAGTTAAAATCATGTGAGGGTCATGTAGAGACTGCCTGCTTCAGGAAAGGGTGATAGTCTTCTTGCTCTATCTACAATCAGAAAATAGATGAAGAAGATGGTCTAAAATTTTTAAAGGCATTAGTCCTTGTATGAGCTGTTAAAAATAATACAACCTGTCATACTTACCTCCAAATGATCTCATGTTGTAACAGCATCAAATAACAAGATATGAGTTCAACATGGAAGCTGTGAAGGGATGCTTTCATTAATGTGTGACATTTACTGTATTCGTTTTGAAGAAAATGGTGATTGAAGAGTGTTCTATAATGACCCCTATGTCCTCTACACAGAATTAATGCCAACAACTACCAGTTTGCAATAGCGTTGACTTTTGCCATCAAAGAGATCAACAGGAATCCTCTTCTTTTACCTAATGCATCTCTGGGATATTGTATCTACACAGCTGGGCCATATGAAAAACAGACATCTTTTAGTTTCCTCTTTTGGCTCACAGGGGAAGACAAACTCATTCCAAACTACACCTGCAGAAGAGAAGAAAAATATATTGCTGCGATCTCAGGAACAACATGGGAAATATCTTCTTTACTTGGTATATATCTTGGACTTTATAACTATCCACAGGTGAGATTATATGAATGGGAAGAAATGAGAGAATTCTCTATTGATGCTAACACTTGACTACCAAGGAAAACTATGAAATAGAAGACTCCATGTGTTTGTGATTTAAATTACATAGTCTTGGGCTAAATTATGGCACAGGAGTCAGGCATGTTTTCTGTGCAATCGTGAGTATAGGAGTTTAGATGCCAGCACCACCCATCTTCTCATTTCGGCACAGCAAAGAAAAGTTGACCTCTGTGGCTTCTTGTCTTTCAGTCAGGCAAAAAGTCATAAATCTCCGGGTTGTTGGGAGACCAACATCGAGAACATGTTGAGGAAAGTAGAGGAAACACAATGCCTACTTCCTACTTCTAGCCTTCATATGCATATAGTCATGTGTTCACCTATACAAACATAGGCAGATACATTGGACACTCATGAGTGACAAAGCAGTCTTTTGAAATGCATTATCTTTAAGGGCATATCCTCTGAGATTTGTTGGTATATCCACATACCTTTTGTAAATGTGCACAAAAGGCATGAGATTCAGATAACTACTTACGACAGAAGGGAATATTTCATCTCATATCCTAAGATGTACTCCAGATGTCAGAGGTGACTTTAAGTATAAATCTGACTTTCTAAATTTTAAACTATTGTTTCAAACATATTGAGACTGTAATTTCTGGAATATCCTCCTTCATGTCACTCCCTGTTCTCTTTTCTTTAGTTGACTTTTGGAACTTTTGAACCAAATCTGAATGATCCTGTGAAGTTTCCTTCTCTGTATCAGATGGCCACCAACGAGTCTTCTCTGGTCTTGGGCATGGTCTCACTGATGGTCTATTTCAGATGGAACTGGGTGGGGCTGATCATCTCAGAAGATGAAAAAGGTGTTCATTTTGTCTCAGAACTGATACTAGAGTTGGAAAAAAACAGTGTCTGTGTAGCGTTCATGGAAATGCTCCCAGTCATGAATGTACATTACATTGTTGAACCTAATATCATTCAAAATAGGATTGAGGCAAGCACAGCAAAAGTAATTATCTGCTATGGTGACACAGAGTCTTCTTTAGGAATACTCTTCAGAATATGGGAACATATACTCCCATGGAGAATCTGGGTAACCACTTCACAATGGGAAGTCTTTACTGCTATGAAACATTTATTTCTTGATTCATTTCATGGAACTCTAATTTTTTCACAACACCATGGTGAGATTTCTACTTTTAAAGATTTTGTAAAGACAGTCACCCCTTCCAAATACCCAGAAGACATTTTCCTTGCAAGATTGTGGGAGATTTATTTTAATTGTCCACTTTCACATGCTTCCTGTAAATCAGTAGAAAATTGTTCATATAAAGGTTCCTTGGAATGGTTACCTTGGTACTACTTTGAAAAGGCCATGAGTGATGGCAGTTACCATGTATACAATGTTGTATATGCGGTGGCCCACACCCTCCACAAGATGCTTCTGCAACAAATAGACATGTCAGCAGTGAAAAATGGAGAAAGAATGAAATTTCCCCACTGGAAGGTAATGATTTCTCATTTGAATGATGAAGTGTGTCACCAAAGGACACAGTTAAATAACCCTACAAGTTCTCTAAAAATGTATCTTGTGATTCTTTTTCCAAAGCTAAGTTTTCTAGAGTGTTTTATTGTCTAAAAAATAGATTTAGGAGAAATCAAAAATTAAAAGGCAATGTCATAATTGATATACTTAATATCTAAGGGCAAAATTTTATGTTAAATCAGACATTAGTCTTGCTCTTCTACAGTCCTCAACAGAGAATTCCTAACCTCTTCTCATGAAGTTCCTAAATATGAACAAGCAGAGACTGACATTTCAGCTAGTAAATTGTGTGGGGTAAAACCAAGTGAAGTAATCTTAAAAAATCTCATGGAATAGGTTTAATATAAACATTGTGTAGGTTTATTTCCTTTTTCTTTGATAAAATATGTGGACAAAAGCCACTAAAGTGAGAAAGTAATTTGTGATTTACAATTACAATTTGTTGACCAGCATCCCACAGGACACAAGGTGGTCTGAATTTAAGCAGCTCATTCATCGACATCAACTGTCAAGAGCAGAGAGCAATGAGTGACTGCATGCATGCTTTTGCTGAAGTGGCTCATTCCAATGCATTCAGTACAGTCTCATGAAATTGTTATATTTAAACTCAGCAAAGGTCTTTTTGCCTCAGTTAATCTGAGTTACCACTTCTCTCATAGATGTCCTCACCAGCCAAATTAATCTAGACAATTCTTCACTGAATTTTCACTCCCAGGTGATTTAAGACTGTGTCAGGTTCATAATTAAAAGTAACCATCACAGACTTTGGTGATCAGTGCTGAAAAGCATTAGAATGTATAATGAAGCAGAAACTTATCTGATAACTCAGTTCACATAGTATTAGGATAGTTTTGTTAATTCCCTATAATCATTCATTCTTTTCTGTTACATACCTATAATGATGCTTTATTTTGAGAACAGATTAATGTAAAAGTGCCACGGCATAATTCAGGTTTACTTTTTACAATGAGCATGCCCATCACAAATCATGCATCTTTCTTAGCTGAATCACATCCTGAAGAACATTCAATTCACAAATCCCTCTGGAGACCAAGTAAACTTGCATCCATCTGAAAAATTGAATGTAGAGTATGACATTCTAAACTTCTGGAATTTTCCACAAGGTCTTGGATATAAAGTGAAAGTAGGAACATTTTCCCCGTATTTTCCACCTGGTCAACAATTGTCCCTGTCGGAGGACAAGATAGAGTGGAGCACAGGAGTTAGAGAGGTAGGTGGAATGTCACATAATGATTTACATAGCACAGAAACGAAAAAAGAAAAAATCTTTGATTACCGTCAAGTCTCTTTTTTTAATTACATTTTTTTAAAAAGGAGCTTACTTCACATGTCTATCCCAGCTCTCACTCCCTCCCCTCCTCCATCACACCCCACCTTCCCCCCTGCAGCCTCCCACCCCATTCCCACCTCCCTCCACATAAGGGCTATCCAGAGCCTGTCACCTCGCTCAGGGCAGGGTCAAAGCCCTCCCCTAAGAGTCCAGTGAGAGAGCATTTCTCCCCGTGCCATGGACACACGAAGTCCATCTGTTTGCCAGAGACGAACACTGATCCACTGCCCAAGACCCCACAGGTTGCCCAGATCTCCTCACCGACTCTGAGACTCAGAGGGTCCAGATCAGTCCCATGCTGGCCTCTCTTCACGTGGGCACTTAGTGCTATGAACTTCTCTCGTAGCACTACTTTCAAAGTGTCCCATAGGTTTGGGTATGTTGTGTCTTCATTCTCGTTGAATTCTAAGAAGTCATTAATTTCTTTTTTTATTTCTTCTTTGACCCAGGAATGGTACAATTGTGCATCATTCAATTTCCATGAGTTTGTAGGGTTTCTGCAATTTGTGTTGTTGAATTCTAATTTTAACGCATGGTGTTATTCCAATTTTTTTTGTACCTGTTGAGTTTTTTTTATTTTTTGAGACAGGGTTTCTTGTATTGTTTTGGAGCCTATCCTGGAACTTGCTCTGTAGACCAGACTGGCCTCAAACTCACAGAGATCCGCCTGCCTCTGTCTCCAGAGTGCTGGGATTAAAGTCGCCAAGTATGTGGTCGATTTTTGAGAAGGTTCCATGTGGTGGTGAAATGAAGGTATATTCTTTTTTATGTGGATGGAATGCTCTATAGATGACTGTTAATCCCAATTGGGTCATAACTTCTATTAGACCCTTAGCTTCTTTGTTAAGTTTCTGTCTGGTATTCCTGTCTAGTGGTGAGAGTGGGGTGTTGAAGTCTCCCACTAAAAGTGTGTGGAGCTTTATATGTGATTTGAGTTTTAGTAATGTTTCTTTTACGAACATGGATGCCTTTGTATTTGGCGCATAGATGTTCAGAATTGAAACTTCATCTTGGTGGATTTCTCCTGTGATGAGTATGTAACGACCTCCTTCATCTCTTTTGATTGATTTTAAACTTTAATTTGTTAGTTATTAGGATTGCTAGCCTCGCTTGTTTCTTGGGTCCATTTGATTGGAAAATCTTTTCTCAACCTTTAACTCGGAGGTAATGTCCGTCTTTGAGGCTGAGGTGTGTTTCTTGTATGCACAGAAGGACGACGGGTTCTGTCTTTGAATCCATTCTGCTAACCTGTGTCTTTTTATGGGTGAGTTAAGACCATTAATATGAGGCATATTAATGACCACTTAGTGCTCATTCTTCTTTGATTTGGAATGGTTTGTGGTGGTGGAATTGTGTGTGAAATTCCACCCCTTTTTTCTTTTGGCTGTTGGTAAGGTTATGCCCCCTTTTCATTTCTGATTTTGTTAATTAGTGTACTCTCTGTCTCTGCCTTTTGATTAGTTTGCACGAAGGTTTGTCTATCTTGTTGATTTTCTCAAAGAACCAACTCTTTGTTTCATTGATTCTTTGCAGTGTTTCCCTGGTTTCTACTTGTTTGATTTCAACCCTCAATTTGATTATTTCCTGGCATCTACTCCTCCTGGGTAAGTTTGCTTCTTTTTGTTCTTGAGCATTCAGTTGTTCTATTAATTCTCTGGTGTCACTGTTCTCCAGTTTCTTTATATGGGCATTTAGTGCTATGAACTTTTCTCTCAGCACTGCTTTCAGAGTGTCCCATAAGTTTGTGTATGTTGTGTCTTCATACTCATTGAATTCCAGGAAGTCTTTAATTTCTTTTTTTATTTCTTCCTTTTCCCAGGGATTGGTGCAATTTTGAATTCTTCAATTTCTACCAGTCTGTAGGGTTTCTGCAATTTGTGTTATTGTTGAATTTTAATTTTAATGCATGCTGGTCTGATAAGATACAGAGGATTATTTCAATTTTTTGTATCTGTGGAGGTTTGCTGTGTTTTCCCTTATGTGGTCAATCTTAGGGAAGGTTCCATGTAGCACAGAGAAGAAGGTATATCCCTTTGTGTTTGGATGGAATTTTCTACAGATGTGTGTTAAACCCAGTTGGGTCGTAACTTCTACTAGTTCTTTTGTTTCTTTTTGGAGGTCCTGTTTAGTGATGAGAGCAGAGTGTTGAATTCTCCTACTACTAGTATGTGAGCTTTTATGTGGGATTTGAGCTTTAGTAATGTTTCTTTCACAAATGTGGTGCCTTTGTCTTTGGGGCATAGATGTTCAGAACTGAGACTTCATGTTGATGGACGTTTCCTTTGATGACTATGAAATGTCCTTCCTCGTCTCTTTTGATTGATTTTAATTTGAAGGTTAATTTGTTAGATACTAGGATTGCTACACCAGCTTGTTGTCAGGTCCATTTGATTGGAAAATCGTTTCCTAACGCTTTACTCTGAGGCAATGTCTGTCTTTGACGTTGAGATATGTTTCTTGTATGCAGCAGAAGGATGAGTTCTCTCTTCATATCCATTCTGATAGTCTGTGTCTTTTTGTAATCAAGTTGAGACCACTGACATTGAGGGATATTAATGACCATTGATTAATGATTCTTGTTTGTTTTTTGATTTATTGATAGTGGTGTTATTGTGTGTAGGTTCTCCTCTCTTTTTCTTTTGGTGTTTGGTTAAGTGGGATTATCTATTGCCTATGTCTTTGTGAGTGTAATTATTTTCATTGGGTCTAAGTTTGTCTTCCAGCACTTCTATAGGGCTGGCTTGTTTAAATCTGGCTTTGTCGTGGAATTTTTGTTTTTTCCATCCATGGTAATTGAAAGCTTTGCTAGATATAACAGTCTGGTCTTGCATCCTTGTTCCCTTAGTGTTTGTAGGACATTTGTGTTTCATAGTTTCCGTTGACAAGTCAGGTGTAATTCAGATAGGTCTGCCTTTATAAGTTACTTGGCATTTCTCTTTAGCTGCTCTTAATATTTTTTCTTTGTTCTGTAGGTTTGATGTTTTTATTATTATGTGGCAAGGGGACTTCTTTTTCTGGTCCAGTCTATTTGGTGTTCTGTAAGATTCTTGTATTTTCATAGGCATATCCTATTTTAGGTTAGGGAAGTTTTCTTCTATGGTTTTGTTGAATATGTTTTCTGTACCTTTGAGCTGTATTCTTCACCTTCTTCTATACCTATTATTCTCAGGTTTGGCTTCTTCATGGTGTCCCATATTTCCTAGATATTTTATGTTATGAATTTGTTGGATTTGAGATTTTCTTTGGTTGATGCCTGTATATCCTCTAATGAGTCATGAGTCTTCAACACCTGAGATTCTCTCTTCCATCTCTTGTATTCTATTGGTGATACTTGCATCTGTAGTTCCTGATTGTTTACCCAGCTTTTCTATTTCCATCATCCTCTCATTCTGTGTTTTCTATATTTTTTCTATTGCAGCTTTCAGTCCTTCAACTGTTTGAGTTGTTTCCTTCATTTGTTTGGTTGGATTTTTTTTCTTGGTACTTTTTAGATTGTTTAAGAGATTTGTTTATTTCTTGAATTTTTTTGGTTTGTCTTTTCCTCCATTTCATGTAAGTTTTGTTTGTTTTTTCTTCTATTTCTTTAAGTGATTTCCTCATTTCCTCTTTGAGAGTCTTTATCATCTTCATAAAATAATTTTTAAGGTCTGTCTCTTCTGCTTCATCTATGTTGTGCTTTTCAGGTCTTGCTGGCATGGGGTCTCTAGATTCTGGTAGAGTCATGTTGGTCTCTCTATTACTGAGTGAGTTCTTATTCTGTCTTCTTCCAGTGGGTGCAGGTGGGGTCTTTCTGTCTCTACTGGTCTCCTTTTTTTTTTGCTGAAGCTGGGCATGCTGGAATGTGGGGTCTGGAAGGACTGATGTCTTTCCTGAAGCTGGGCATGCTGGGGGTAGGGTCTGGAAGGACTGACATCTTTCCTGTTGGGAAAGGTCCTCTGGATGCCAGGAGCGGGCCCCCGGAAGATTAAGGGAGTGGATTATGGGAGGGTGAGGAATCACAGGAGCCTCAAGTCTCTTATTAATTATAAGATGGTTGTACTGATGTATTTCCAAATTCAATTTATACATTCCAATATATTCTTCATAAGTTAATTATTGCCAAGTATGAACATCTTCTTCCCCACGTGTATGCATGATTCTAAACACACACACTTATATATATTTGCATGTATATGTTTACTATTTATATGTTCTATTATGGGGTATATTTGTGGATTCATTATTTAACTGAATGTGGATTTATAAAATTAAATTCACCAATGGCCAAATATTCTCATAAAGCTTAATTACTGGATTAATTCTTATTTTTCCTCACATTGCTGATTTCTTCAGACTCCAACATCTGTATGCCATGAAAGTTGTGTTCCTGGATTCAGGAAATCTCTTCAGGAAGGCAAGGCTGTCTGCTGTTTTGATTGCAGCCTCTGCCCAGAAAATGAAATATCCAATGGAACAGGCAAGTGTGTGCATTAAGGATGAGGTCCTCAACTTTTTTAAAACCCATGGCTTGACTTAGAAATCATGACAAGAGAATTGCACAGATTATATTCTTACGAGTTTGTATTCAATGTTAATAGCTATAATCAAATTTTTTTTCATGAGGTACCCCATATTTGTAGACTTTATATGATTATAAAACACACTTTATTCACATAATACTTCTAAAAATCTTGATAGGACTCTAATGCTCACTCTTTCAGTAAAATTTGTGTGGGGTCTGTATACATGTGTCTATATCCAATCTTTTTAGATCTGTATTAACCTTACACAAAATCCATTAATCTGGTACAGGATCACTTTCTTGGTGTCCAGAACTATTTTTTAAATAGAACAGATATTAATAGAGAGTAGATTTGTCTTAAGAATTTCAGGGGTGCCGGGCATTGGTGGCACACGCCTTTAATCCCAGAACTCAGCATGTAGAGGCAGTTGGATCTCTGTGAGTTCGAGGCCAGCCTGGTCTACAAGAGCTAGTTCCAGGACAGCCTCCAAACCACAAAGTAACCCTGTCTCAAAAAAAAAGAATTTCAGGGGCTGGAGAGGTGCAATAATAGTTAAGAGCACTGACTGCCCTTTTAGAAAACCTAGAATTGGCGTTCAACATTCAAATAATGTCTTTCAGCTGCATGTAATGATAGTTCCAGGGTACCTGACACTGTATTCTCGCCATTGTGGGCAACAGACACATGTGATTCTCAGACCTACATTCAGGAAGAATTCTCAATCTAATGCATGAAAAGCAATAAATTAATGTGTCTCCTGTATGACAACATGTGATGTAGGATGATTCCAGTGGGAAAATTATGTTTGTTGCTCTGTATAGTTCAAAGCTGAACAGAGAAGAAACCAGGTGGAGATGGAGGATTAAGCCATAAAACTGAATAAATATATGCAAAAATTACTTGAGGTAGATGTAAGTGATGCTACACACATTTTGAGAATAAATCATGGATATTTATGTTGGTTTGTACTAGAAAATACAATGATGAAAGAACAGGGCAAATGTTCAGTAGTACTCTTTGTAATTACCAAGTATAGGAAATTATAAGATCATATGCATGACATAATGAACTACTTGGCCCACATCCAGCAATTCCACCACTAAAAAATATAATAGGTCCAAATGCCTAATTATATAGGTGCAATAACTCTGTGAAACACTTGTAAAATAAATTCAGCAACAAATAAGAAAACGATAACCAACATGAAATGTTGACATCATCCTTTAGATATTTGAATATCACAGTAACATCACAAATTGCACACATATACTCTCATTAACATGAGCAGCCAAATGTAAACAGAAATAGGATGACACCAAGAGATGTGCTAAAGTAGATCAGAGAGAGAACACAGTTCCCAATCCTATACAAAGAGCTGTTGATAACTGAGGGCAGCAAGGACTGAGAGAGCTGGATAGATTAACAAGGTTTATTTGCTGTTTTTTGTGTAACTAAAATGAAAAAGTTACATTTTGGGGATAGAATTAAAACTTACAAGATTGTCATTCTCCAAAAATCATATTGTATATTATCTTTGCTTTCTTGGTAGTTTGCACATTATGGTTTTGATGACTACATGCTACATAATGAAATAACCAAGGCATAAGTTCCAGAGATCTGATTTAACAGAATATAAATGTGGTTTGAACTGTCCCAAAATTTATGTTATATTTTGTCTTGTACCAAAGGTGATACATTAGTTTGCTTACCATTGTTTTATAAAGAACTTGACCAAAAGCACCTTCAGAAGGAAAGAGTTTGCTTCATCATAAAGCTTACAGTCTATCATAAGGGAAGTCATGGATTGAAGTCAGGTCTGGAAACTTGATGCAGGAAGTGAAGCAAAGAACATGGAGCTGCACTCTATATTACTCTCCATCTCTATTTAGCTTATTCTGTTAATACAATCTAGGGTCCACTTCCCAGGTTGGTACTGCCCACTAAACTAGACCATCCTATAATAAGCATTGAGAAGTTTCCCCACCTGACTGTTCCATTGTCCATTTCTTACTTGATATTCCTCTTTTAAAATGGCTTTTATTTGTGCTGTGTTGAAAAATGAATACAAGAAACAAGTGTTGAAAAAACACATGAGACATTTTTGAAATATAAGCTTTAATGGTTGTTAATGGTGCATTCCATTCGCCAGCAGAATTCAAATTTTTCTCAGGATATTTGGGGGCATTAGTGCATCTCTGCCATGTGAAGAAAGAGTAGTAATATGCAAGGAACACCAAATCTCTTTGTTTTAGAGACTATGGATATTCAATGGTATAGAAATAAGAGTAATAAATGTTTCCTTTTATGAAATCCAAGTCTACACTACCATTCAATATCAAATGTACAACTAGAATACATATGTTGTCTATTTTTTGTTTTTGTTTTTCAAGACAGAATTTCTCTGTGTAGACCTGTCTATAATTCAGGTCACTTTGTAGACAAGACTGTCTAGAAAGTTACATATTCAAGGCCCTTGCTTCTTGATTTCTGGGAGTAAAGGTGGTTGGCTAGTTTTCCTTATCTTTTTTGGTCTGTTTTCTTGTTGTTTTGGTATGCTATCTGTATATGGAAATAAGAAAGGACATTTCGAGACAAATGAAAAGGGTATCCATTTATTTACTTGCTACTAATATTAATAGGCAAAATCTTCAAGGCAGTAGCATACATTTCTTTGTTTTCAGTTGTACAAAGACTAATTGGATTCATTTTCCCTTTGTACTACTTCCAGGTTTGTGTGAGGATGCAATGAGCAAAACTCAATGAAGTTGTACTAATAGCATATTGCATTTCTTACCAGATTTGGAGCAGTGTGTGAAGTGTCCAGATACTCAGTATTCCAACACTGAGCGAACCCGCTGCCTCCAAAAAGTTGTGACATTTCTGGCGTATGAAAACCCTTTGGGGATAACACTGGCAGGCATTGCCCTGTGCTTATCTCTACTCACAGTTCTTGTCATTGGAGTTTTTGTGAAGCACCAAAACACTCCTATTGTGAAGGCCAATAACAGGACTCTCAGCTACATCCTGCTCATCTCCCTCACCTTCTGTTTTCTCTGCTCCTTCCTCTTTATTGGTCAGCCCAACACAGCAACCTGCATCCTGCAACAGATCACATTTGGAGTTGTCTTCACCTTGGCAGTGTCTACTGTCTTGGCCAAAACCATCACTGTGGTCCTAGCCTTCAAAATCACTATGCCAGGAAGAAGGATGAGGGGGTTTCTTAAATCAGGGGCACCCAAATTCATCATCCCTATCTGTACATTTATACAAATTATCATCTGTGGAATCTGGCTAGGAACATCTCCTCCCTATGTAGACACAGATGCACACTCTGAACATGGTCAAATTATCATTTTGTGCAATAAGGGTTCAGTCACAGCCTTCTACTGTGTCCTGGTATACCTTTGGGTGCTGTCCATAGGGAGCTTCACAGTAGCTTTTTTGTCCAGAAACCTTCCAGACACCTTCAATGAAGCCAGATATCTGACCTTCAGCATGCTGGTGTTCTGCAGTGTCTGGGTCACCTTCCTCCCTGTCTACCACAGTGCTAAGGGGGAGGTTATGGTGGCTGTGGAGGTCTTCTCCATCTTGGCTTCTAGTACAGGGCTCCTAAGCTGTATCTTTATCCCCAAATGTTATATTATTCTCATGAGACCTGATAAGAACTCATTGAAAGCTATGAGAGATAGAGTTCGATGGAAATAAAGGTTTTTTTCAGATAAATAATGTTCCATTTTTAGGATTTTGCACAGTGTCAATAGATGTTCTCAGGAAAGCCAGGCATTGCTGGCACACACCTTTAATCCCATCCCTCAGGAGGCAGAGACAGGTGGATCTCAGTGAGTTTTAAGCCAGCCTGGTCTACAATGTGAGTTCCAGGACAGCCAAGAATGTTACACAGAGAAATCCTCCCTCAAAAAAAAAGTTTCTCAGGTTAAAATGTTTAGGCACATATGCTAAACATCCTTCAAGTCTGACTTACTGTTTAGATATTTTGTGTTTGTGGAATACTGGAATGTCACATGTCCAGGACCAAATTTCCTTGGGTTGCCTTAGCCTTCCAATAAGCCTATATGTGGATTCCAGGTAAATATTTTTGAAAAGTGCAAAATGAACTTAACTTCCACCAAAGCAATGTCAAGATACTATAAGATAACATCAAACGCTAATTACAGCATAGAATTCCAAGATTTGCTGTAACTTGCCACACAACTTATCCATAAAGATATTTTGTAAGTGTCTTTATTTGTGGATTAATTTATTTTCTTACTATAAACACCAGTTAAAAACATTATTGTATTGGAACATAGTATTTGTGATAACCTGTGTTCGCACCACATACTCACTCATATTTGGCCCCTGTGGAAATTCTTTCTCACCACCTTTGAGGACAAAGGAGTTTCTTTTCACTTGAGGAGAAAATGTTTATCCATTCCTGTCTTATGAAGTAACTGATATCACTGGCAGCGTCTACTCCAGGTTTTAAATTTGACTGGCACAAAACATCACCGTGAAATCAAAACGTTGGTGGGTCTTTGAAGATTTTGGCAGACTAGAATAACTAAAATGTGAAGAATTCATTTTAATTTTGGAAAATACATTGCATGGTGAAGAGTCACAAGGTTTATACAGAGAAAGTAAGGTAATCCAAATACTAAGGAATATCTCCTAAATTTGATGCAACAGAAGTACATGCTTTAGACTCTTACTGTCATAACTTCCCCATAATGATTTACTGCTCCCTTTTTTATGAACCAAAATAAATCTCCTTTAAAATGATGTCTTTTTTGAGTTTGTACTACAATTTACCCATTTTTCTAATTATTATTTTATTTGGGATACTTTGTCCCAAGTTTTTATTATGTAATGTGACATCAAATATGTATATGTGTACAAATATATATCCTCAATAACTAAATACAACTGGTCAGTCTGTATAATGTTACCTGTGCCTATGTAACCAACCCAGAAACTGCAACACATGAAAACACAGAGTTCTGGAGCACAGTTCCAACAGATAACTCTCCAACACATTCCTGTACCACGCCTCGGAGAACATTGTGGAAGTGGGTATGGAAGGACTCATAGTGACAGTGTATTGGGAAGCTTGCTCTAACATTGTCTCCTATAACTTCAGAGATAGATCATCAAAACCTCACCATTATTGCCACCTAGACAAGAGCAGATACAAAGCCCAACTGCAGTCATTCTAAAGTGCATGAGCGAAAGTCCAGGAGTGCTCGACACTGTGCAACTCACTACAGGCTACTCAGGAAAGCTACGAGTGGGAGAAACAGGCTTCTTCAGGAAAGATCACATCAATTGTATATTCAATAGCAATTATTTTTCTTAAACTTGCTTTTGTCAGGTGTTTATGCACACAAAACACAGGAGAAATTCATAGAGAACACTGGCTGTATGTAGTGAGGATGCGGTTGTAAAAAACACGGGTAAGTGTCTGTTACGCCTTTGTAATTGGTTTGTTAGAGCAGTTTTGAGAGATTTGTAGCTTAAAGACACATAAGTCTTGAAATGTAGTCAGTATAGATTAACTGTCCATTTTGAAAGAGTTTGGCATATGAGAAAGCCAAAATCAATATGAACACTCGAGACCACTCTAATGAGTTTTCAGAGGCCAGCAAGAGCTCAATCATAAATTGGGTGGTTGCACACATATGAACATCTGATCTTTGACAAAGAAGCTAAAAATATACGATGGAATAGAGAAAGCATCTTCAACAAACGGTGCTGGCATAACCGGAGGCTGGCATGTAGAAGAATGCGGATTGATCCATGTTTATCGCCATGCACAAAACTTAAGTCCAAATGGACCAAAGACCTCAACATAAATCCAGCCACACTGAACCTCTTAGAAGAGAAAGTGGGTGGTACCCTTGAAAAATTTGGTACAGGAGACAGCTTCCTGAACATAACACCACTAACACAGACAGTGAGATCAACAATTAATAAATGGGACCTACTGAAACTGAGAAGCTTCTGTAAGGCAAAGGACACAGTCAGCAAGACAAAAAGGCAGCCCACAGAATGGGAAAAATATTCACTAATCCCACATCTGACAGAAGATTGATCTCCAAAATTTGCAAAGAACTCAAGAAGCAAGTCTCCAAAACATCAAAGGACCCAATTAAAAAGTGGGCTGCAGAACTAAATAGAGAGTTTTCAATAGAGGAGTCTAAAATGGCTGAGAGGCACTTGAGAAAGTGCTCAACATCCTTAGCCATCCGGGAAATGCAAATCAAAACAACTCTGAGATACCAACTCACTCCTGTCAGAATCGCTAAAATCAAAAACACCAATGACAATTTATGCTGGGGAGGATGTGGTGAAAGGGGGACACTCCTCCATTGCTGGTGGGACTGCCAATTGGTTCAGCCACTTTGGAAATCAGTATGGAGATTCCTCAGAAAAATGGGAATAAACCTACCACAAGACCCAGCAACTCCACTCTTAGGCATATATCCAAAAGATGCCCATTCATACAACAACGATGTCTGTTCCACTATGTTCGTAGCAGCAGATCAGTACTCATCCCGAGTATACACACGGACTTTGGACTCCCATCCAACAATGTGAGGTGCACTCTCACTCTGAACTCTTGGGGAAGAGTCTAGGCCCTGCCCTATATGAAATGACAGACTATGGACACCCCCATGGAGGGCCTCACCCTCCCTGGAGAAATAAGGGGATAATGGGGGGTTGGGTGGAGGGCACGGGAGGAGGGGAGGGAAAGGGAGAGGGACCTGGAACTGACTTGTGAAGCATCCTTGTTTCTTATCTAAATTTAAACTGAAAAAAAAGACATCAAATAAATAAATAAATAAATTGGGTGGTTGGGCATTTATTATATATTCTGCCAATGTCACTGACCACATTATTACTGTGCAGAGAGCTTCTGTGAGGGTTAATTCAAAGGTAATGGTTGCTTTGTTTAGTGGGTGAACCCTCAAGTCAGGCTGTAGTTCAGGCTGTGTTATGGTTGTCAATCACTGTCTTTGGATCTATAATGAGAAGAAATGAAGCAGAGGCCGGGTGGTGGTGGCGCACTCCTTTAATTCCAGCACTCGGGAGACAGAGGCAGGAGGGTCTCTGTGAGTTCCAGACCAACTTGGGCTACAAGGGCTAGTTCCAGGACAGCCTCCAAAGCCACAGAGAAACCCTGCCTTGAAACCCCATCACAAAAAAAAAAAGAAATAAATGTCCATGGTCTTGGGATTAAAGTGGTTTCACAGTATAAAGACATAGACAAGAAAGATGGAAAAGCGCCTGTAATTATTAAGTCTCAGCCTAGAAATGAATGCAACCTTTTACTCTGTAGTGGTGTGTTAACAAAGATGGTCCAAGGGCAGAATGTAACCCAAGGATGGCAGAAATTTGTAAAATGCAAATTTATTCCCAATTGGAGGAGACTGATGAGAAGGGCTTTCTTCCTAAAATCTAAATTCGGAGGTTTTATTTCCATGGATTCAGACCACAATTCATGCAGAGCCTGCTAAAGATTTCTCCAAGGGGACCAGGCTACATTTCAAGTTAGTAAAATGGCTCAAGAGAATGTTTCTGGTGGGTTTCAGAGAGCGCAGGGGACGGACAACATGTCACAGGTCAGAGTGTATGCAAGGGGCCATTATGTGAAGTTATGGAAGTAAGCTTTGGTTACAAGGGAAAGGATGGCATGTGGGAGAAACAAAGTCCATGGGAAATCCACAAGGAAAAACTATATGAACAGAGCGTATTGGATCTGATAGATCCTGCTTCATGGCCTGCAGACCTGGAGGGATGGAGCACAGATAATTCCACCCAAATCCTCAGATAGCACAGAACTAAAAGTATTGTGCACTCGGGAGGCAGAGGCAGGTGGATGTCTTTGAGTTTGAGGCCGGGCTGGACCGATAGCCTCCCAAACAATACAGAGAAACCCTGTCTCATAAAAACCAGAAAAAGAAAAAAGAAAAAAAAGTATTGTAGTTTTCCCTGCTGGGTTTCAATATTGCTTTAATCCTATCTTTCTTTCCTGATTCCTTATTTCCTACTTCTGGAATTGGGATGTTTATTCTTTTTGTAAATGGTATTGGGATTGCACCTACGGCCTTGTGCATGCTGGTTGTATGGTCTATGACTGAGGTACAACCACAAGCTGTAATGTTTTTATGTAGTCATTCTATATTGAATATAAAAGAAAATTGTTAAATTTTTCACGGTTTCTGAACTAAGAGGATGTTTTGAACCTTAAAGAGACATTGGGAATCACATTTAGGGAGTTTTGAAATTATGCAAGAATATGAGATCTTCTAAAGCTGGTGAGTTCATTTTGCACTGTGATATTTTGCACTATTTCAATTTTAGGATCCTGTAGTAGAGTGTCATAATTTAAAAGACTTATGTGTTTGGGTACTGAAAAGGAAACAACAGCTCAGTCCAGGGTTGGGGGCTGGAAAATGTAGTGCTTATGCTTGACTGTCCTCCTCAGGTATTGGGAACTCAGGAAGGTACGGTTTACCTTAGTGGACAATGAATGGTCTACTTGGATATTGATGGGATGGTTCTAACTAGACTGACAACACATTGACCACATATGACAATGGAATTTGCAAGATAGACAGAGCCATTTCATTCTCCAAGACAGCATGACAGACATGGTAAATGTATTCCCGGGACTTACCAACCAGCATGGAATGAAATTTTGTTAG